AGTTCTATTAATTTTCTTGGAATAAAAATATCTGATGGACGATAACAACCACAACCTCACATTGCTCAAGAACTACACAAGTTCCCGAGAATATTGACGTCACAAAAAGAAATTCAACAATTTCTTGCGTTGGGATTTTTTGCCTAAATTATCGAGCCACACTGTACATTTACTCCCCATGCTGGAAAAAAAAATACGCCCCCTTGGAGTAGGAAACATATGTTAGCTATAGAAAAGATAAAGCAGCTAGCTAATGTGATGCCTCCTTTAAAGATTCCTATTGTTTCTGACAAAAGGGTTCTCCAGACTGACGCAAGCGATGAGTACTGGGGGGGCAATCCTAATAGTTCAAAACTAGTGTCAGAACAATTTGTGGATACCACAAAAGCGGCACGTTCAAAGAATCAGCGCAACACTACTACTCTACCTTCAACGAGATCTTAGTTGTCAAAAAAGGAATTGAAAGATTCTAGTTCCATCTAATCGGTCATGATTTCTAGATTGAAATGGATGTCTTCCTTCCCACACATGCTCCATTTCAAAAGAAAGATACCCCTAGAAGCCCAACAACTTTTGAGATGGGCAAATTGGTTCTCTCAATGAAAATTCATTGTGAAACACATCAAGGGGTCAGAAACTATTATAGCAGATTTTCTGTCCAGACCAAAGGGCTATAAAGATGATGTCCCAAAAGACATCCAGACAATCCACAAAACCAAAGTCCTTCCAATGGTGTTTCCTGTAGAGAAAGCAAGCTTTTCCAGCTCATTTATTCCAAACACATCTCAACCTCCACACCAGGTCGATCCAGCTGAAAGTACCACAACTCCACCACAAGTCCTACCATATGAGATTACAGAAACAATCGTTGACCTCACCTTAAGAGAAAGGTCCCAGCTGAATTACAAAACGTTCTTCACTATCACACTAAAGAAGAATGACATGTTCTTGAGAAACCTCCAGTTTCATCCGGATTACTCGTCTTAAATGTCTTCCACATCCATGACTTACATAGGTTCCCGAAAGAAGCCCTTTGTTTCTTTTGGTATCCATTCGAGTCTCAGACCATCGCAATATCATTCAACTCGGCCAAAGTACTTGGTTACATTTTCCAATGTCAGTTTGAGAGTCAGCCCCCAGGGCAAAGAATGTGTTCACCCTTCTCTAGTGGTTCCTCCCAATGCATCAATGGATTCAACGATTAGCTGCCTGTTATAAGGCGTATGTTGTGATCATGTTTAGGAGGCCCTGTTCTTTTCTACCTCACACAGCTCTTCGACAACAACAATCATTGGTCTACCACTCTCCATTGTCATTCATCCACAAATGGAATGACAACAACCCAGTCAGTAAGTACTTCGAGTTATCCCAACCAGGAAAGTATATGGAAACAAGGGGGATTCTAGCTAGTGCTAACCTAGTTGATCCAGATTTGATCCCAAAGCAAATTATGAACAATGAAAAACTCTAGTCTTCCGAACATCCGTTCTCTGCATCATGGGACGAAGCATTTGAACATTGGTTCCAGACACATGTCACGAAGAAAATAGACACTTCCGATGAAGAAGATTTCAATGAAGACGGCGAGCATTTTGACTCCAAAGAAAACTGCACAATCCTTACGAAGACGATCTATCTCATCCTGACTCTCATTGGAAGTAATTATCGTAGAATAATATTAGTAATTGTCTCGACTAAAAGACAAAATAATGTTGTAATAATGATGTAAGCTTGAAGTCACTTTCTTGTGATGTAAGCTCTTACCTCATTTAGTTTGTTTTTTAGCTTGTATTATTACTTGCTTTTGGCATGCTTTTGTAATGCTTATGCAGGGGTACCTTTTCCTTCCCTATAAAAGGAAGGCTTCCCCTCATTTATAAGTCATCCTTGGAAAAGAAATAAAAGCCTCTTCCTTATATTCTCTCTTGTTCTTAAGTTTCAGTTCATGTTCTTCATGCTTTCTTTTATTCTCATCTATTAGTTCTAGTCATCCTTTATCAATCTCCCAGTCTTGGGAATCATCTTTTGGTATAAAATAGATATGTCGATTCAAAGGCATATTGGTTCTTTGTAATTGAACCTAACGATTCTGTTTCGGTTAATAACGTTGTAGAATCAAGATATGCCATCTTTGATAAGAGGTTTAATTCCATACCAAGACAAAAAGACATGATTCCGAGTACAAGTGGAATCAAAGACAGAGAAAAGGAAACCTTTGGAAATACTAGAGCTTCAAAGGAGCAGATGGGGAAGGTTCGATAAATCTTTTGGTCCTGACTTTCAACTGTATTTAATTGAAGGTTCTAGAGATAAATTGGATCTGAATATGCTTACTGTTATAGCATAGAGGAAGATCCAAGAACCTATGATGAGGCTATGAAGTCTCAAGATGTTGCTTTTGAAAGGAGGCAGTGAATGATGAGATCAAGTCCATCATGGGTAATAGCACGTGGGTGTTAACCGATTTACCACCGGGTTGCAAACCGTTGGGTTGCAAATGGATTTTCAAGAAGAAAATGGAAATCGATGGTTCGATCGATAAGTTCAAGGCTCAGTTGGTAATACAAGGATTTCAATAATAAGAAGGTATCGAAAATAATCGATACCTATGCACCGGTTGCTCGCATCTCCACCATTCGATTGTTAATAGCATTGGTAGCTATTAATAACTCGGTAATTCACCAAATGGATGTCAACACAACATTCCTTAACGGTGATTTAAAAGGGGGAAAGTTTATATAAAGCAATCGGAAGGCTTTATGATGTTGGGGAATGAACATAAAGTGTGTAAGTTACTTAAATCACCTTATGGTTTGAAGCAAGCCCTAAAACAATGGCATCAAAAGTTTGAAGAAGTTGTTTTGTCCAATGGTTTTCATCTAAACCAATCGGACAAATGTGTGTATAGCAAATTTGATAATTCATGTAACGGAGTCACAATTTGTCTATATGTAGATGATATGTTGATCTTTAGCATGGACCAAAGACAAGTTGACTTGATAAAAGATTTGTTGTCATCCAAATTCTTGATGAAGGATTTACGGGAGGCCGAAGTGATCCTTGGGATAAGGATTAAACGGGAGAACGGGAGAAAAAAGGTTTGGCCATAAGAGTTTCACTATATTGAGAGAATGTTAAAGAAATTTAATATGTTAAATTATTCACCCATGAGTACTCCAATAGATCCCAGTGAAAATCTTATGCCCAAGGAGGATGAAGTCGTTTCACAATTGGAACACAAGGCAATAGAGTGCTTGATATATGCTATGACAAACACGCGACCGGATATTGCCTATGTCGTTGGAAGGTTGAGTAGGCTTATTAATAGACCTAGTTCCCACCATTGGCAAGTGGTTAAAAGAGCATTCAAATATTTGAAGGGAACCATGAACTATGGTATAACTTATATCGGGTTTCCTTCGGTGATTGAAGGCTACACATGTACAAGTTGGATTCCCAATATAGAAGATCATTGTTCTACTAATGGATGGGCTTTCATACTTAGAGGAGGTGCCATTTCTCGAGCCTCGAAGAAATAAACTTGTATCACAAACTCCACTATGGAATATGAGTTTGTGCCCTGGTGGCAGCCGCTGATAAAGAGGTGGAGTGGCTAAGGAATCCAATTTACAAGATTCCTTTATGGCGAAGCTAATATCACCCATATGTATTCATTGTGATAGTACCGCAACCTAGGCTAAGGCATATAGCCATGTTTATAATGGAAAGTCAAGGCACTTGGGAGTAAGACACAACATAGTTAGGGAATTAATAATACATGTATGATATCTGTCGAGTTTGTAAGAACCCACAACAATTTAGCCGACCATTTAACGAAAGGGTTAGTCGTCCATGCGTGTATATTCGTTGAAACGTTAGATAGGTCCAGTTCAATCTTATAGGCATGTCAAATGCCAATTTATAAACCACAACATCTACCTCGGCGCAATACTTTTCATATGGTTGAGTGACTATCTTAGTCCTAAAAAACAAAATCTTATCATAAATTTGGTCTTAAGACAACTTTTCAATCCCCAACTCAACTTTGTATATGGTTGAGTTCTATATTTTTTTAACATTTTGTATAATTCGTTTCTATTAAGAGGATCACGAAATTGCTCAAATGCAATGGTTTATCATTAAGCACTCCGCTGGATCAATCCAATAAGTCATTACACAGATATGATTTAGGTAACTTGTATGGACTGCACCAAACATCGCACGTTAGAGCGATAACAATTACCAAATTTGAAAATAATTCTTGCACTTCCGTTTAAGCATTTTCCATGATATAAAAGTATTAGAATTCAAAGTTGAGCGACTTACTTGATGGTATCTTGGTTAGAGGACCGTTTTGATCCACGTAAGTTCAATGTTGTCAAAGGGACCGAACAAGCCCAATTGAATCACCAGACTTCGCTTTCATCATCTTGTATAACTCTGCGTTATACATCCGAACATCCTTGGTTGTGTAAGCATCGCTTGCACCGAATACATTTCTCTCAGTACATGGAATAATTATTAATGTGGAGTTTTTGAGCAGCCTTTGTAAGAACACTACAATGTCTACATGTGCTCTTCTTTGTCCCTTAAACATACTAGCCAAAACAAAATGTTCCCAAACAGGGGATTTTCGGTTCTGCTCCTCGATTAGTTCGACAACATAATCTTTAAGGACCAACATCCTAAACCATAAAAACATTAGACTCCACTTACTTGAGAACCAAAATGTAATTTTTTTCGGATTTCGAACTAAAAAGGGTAAAGTGGGCGGTCGAGTGGGAACATGACATTAGGTGGAGGAAAATTCAAACTCAAATTCCATTCTAATTCCTTTAAAGTCAAATTCTTTTGACAGATTTCATTCCTTCAAAAAACATTCTGCGAACCAAACACCCCCTTAGAGTATGAGGACCGATTTTGATATACTATGGCTTAACTGGTAATATAACCGGCCCGGTCGATTACAACCGGTTTCAAAAACAAATCATAGCATTCAAATCCCCAAATGCCCTACAAACATAACATTGATATGCATTTTAATACAGCACAATTTAGATGACTGCCAATTAAATGTATGCATAAGAAACACATGTTTTTTTTCTCCTATCAAATCTACAAATGAAGATTTAAGAAAAGCTTTTCATTTGACATTTAAAAGTAGATATACATCTCTGAGTTTTACACATTACTAGCTACTTCTTTTTCTTGTCCTCTTTAAGTTTCTCGAGTACAATAGGAGCAGCTGGAATGCTAAACCACCACTCTCGCAATCTCCGATTCCATCTTTCTGTGCTCGATCTCCTCATAGGCGAGTACTTAGTGAATTCCTCCAAGAAAACAAGTAGAACCACAAATCGGATGGGTACAAACGCCACAAAGACCGCACTCATCCCAAGTGCAACTGCAAATCGATCGCTTGCCTAACAAGAACCAACAACTATCTATGAATCCTATCTAATGTATTCACTTATTCCACCTATCCATGATTTGGATTTTATATTAACCTTTGGCCAAGCTAAAGGCCTACAAAGTTCCTCATTTCATAGCCAAAAGTTGGTTATGCTATACACCTATACCATAGGTGATTGTCGAATGGCATTTTTAGACTTTCGACTGAAGAAAAGAAAAACAAAAACCTTCATTAAGATTTTGTTCTCATGCAGCTAAGAGAGCCCATTAGTGGGCTTACAAGTTACGTTACACCCTTTTCTTGAAGTAAAGATTGCAACTTTTCCATTTCTGAAAAGTTCACAAGCTACAATTGTCTAATTCATATTGAATATTATTTTAGATATTTGAAAGTATTTTCCTAAAATCATTTGTCCCCTCAAATGTCATAGTTTCTATGAAATGGAAGGAGTATTAGTTGCAATGATTAACCAGCCATGTGGTTTAATGGAAGCATTGGTCAAATATCTAAACACCACTCCAGACAGTAGAGAACCTCGTTTTGCCAAATCAGTAATTGTGAAGATAATATTGATTTAGCATGATTTTCTCAAAATGTCCTAAGTTTCATAAAAGCAGAAAAAAGATGAAGAAAAGCTAAAACCAAACGGACCCCAGTATATCCCATCTGAAAGTAGGATTTGGGGAGGGTAAGGTTGTCAGCAGACCTTACCTCTGTCCCGAGAGACAGAGCCGAGAAGACCCCGGCTTGCGAGAAAATATGAGGGGAAGCAGGTACCTGCGGGAATATGGATAATAGCAGTCCACGTAGTTTGAGAAGAACGACATTCCCATCTTGGATTAGCTCTTCGGCCTGAGATATCGCGTTCTGGACAGCCAACAGCTGCTCCATTGTGTTCATTGGTGGAGGTGCTGTTACCTTGAACTCATCCACTGGCCGTCCACGGCTACAACACCGTGTAACCATCATAAAAAGTGCAAGAAAGGCAAGCAGTAACGCCAAGACGTAAGAAAACCATCCCCTGCACCAAAACCTCAGCATGAGTACAAGTAATAATTACATAACCACAATTTGCTAATTCCAGAACTTGCAAGCGTACCATCCAGACAAAATCTGTTATTGCTCTTCTATACTCGCCTGAATTCCATATTTCGTCTTAAAATCCAAAACTATTGATCCATAACTTCTCTATCATAGTGCTTGCTGAAACTTGAAAGTGATTTACTTGATATGGATATCAGAAGCTGTACAATGAAATGTAACAGCAAGTCCAAAGCACTAACAGCAAAAGTGTTCTGCTTGCAATTTGAACTTGTAACTACTAATCTGCTTGATGACTGATCTTGTACAGACATTCAAGTCCTATTTTCCATCACTACAACTTAAACAAGTAACTCTATCTCCTTTGATTTAAGCTTAAGGACCATAGTATAAAATTCCTGATTCAATCAATTATCGACCATGGATTATTCTCTTATTAAGTAGTATGCTTGCAAGCTAAGTTTGAACTATGATATCCTGGAATTATGAAATTCCAACTTCTGTTCTCAAAGTTTGGTCCAGATCTAGTTTCGTAACCTGATTGAATTACTGTATGCCACTTGTAAAGAAATCAGGTTACGTGCACTTACTCTAGAATCGATGAGCACCTCAGCAAACGTCGCAAATCAGGTTTATGAGCTTAGCAATGGAATGAGAAGCAACAAGTAAAACAAACTACTAAGAGTTCAGAAAGGGAGATCAGGCACCATTGCCTTCTATGAAAGTAGCACTTAAATGATTAATTTCTCCTCTACCATCATTAGGTTTAGCCAGGGGAGTTTATAACACATCCCAAATAACAAATCATGCAAAAAACAGTAGCATCATGTATTCACTTCTCCTCTAGGACCCTTGCCACTGGATTTCTCTTAAACTCATCTAGGATAATACTAGGAGATCGGAATAACAAATAATCAACTCCCAAAAAAGTTCAAATTTATATGACCGAGACAAGATATTTTCCAATATTCCATTTGCTATCTTATGGTAACCACCATCATTAAGATAACACGGTGCAAAAAAGAAATGGATACTCAAATTACGAGCTCACATGTAAATCACATATGTGAATACCAGACAGAATGCAAGAGACTTCACAGGCTCTTCCCAGTAAAATAGTTTGACAAGCCGATTCCCAAGTTCAGTAACAGGAAATATCAACTCCTGCAAGTATAAATAAATAACAAGTTTTCACTAATGATTAGAACATCAGAAATAATCTGCTCACAACTTACAATCAGACCACAAATAGCCAAACACTAAATAGTTCGTCAAGCACAATTGATGTAATATTCAGTTTTCAGATTATAGTTGATCGGTTTTAAAGTTATGTGGCAATGGAATGTTCGGGGTTGGATTATGTAGTGTGAGGGTTTTTGAGGAATTAACCTGTGTTATATTTTCCTCATTAGATTCTTATTATTGGTGTTAATTATCAAAAGTGTGTGACGCATGGGGGGGAGGGGGGAAGGTGCCTGCCCATGCACCGCTCCCAAACTCTTTCCCACTTACTATATATAGTAAGTTTGGTTGAACTGGGAAAAGTTTACCACTTCATATCAGTGAAGTCTCCTTGGCAAATTCATCATCTAAGGCAGAAGAGCAAGCATATTTCAGAACTAAGATTTTGGCTAAGGTGAGTGTGTTTCAAACATCCTCTACATATGATCTATCACTGGTTTATAGTTGCTATGTTGCTATTCGATACTTTAAAATCTTCATTGTCCGATTATGACTCATCTCCGGCCGTAGTGCTGACAGGATTAGAGTAAGTCCGGTCACAGCGTTGACCGGATTTGAATATATGAAATGGTCTCCGGACATGGTGTTGTCCGGATTGAAGAGTTCTATGATAAGATCATTTTATTCAATGACCGGATTCAAACATGATAAGTTTGTATTACGGACACAGTGTTGTCCGGATAGGGGGATGTCCGGCCATAGCATTGACAGGATACGTGCCTCTCCGGACATAATGTTGTCCGGATTGGTGTCTTATGCCGGATAATACTTACCGGCCAAGTTTTAGCCGGATACCTCTTCTACCGGTCATAACCTTGACCGGATGCGTGCCTCTCTGGACATAGTGTTGCCCGGATAGGGGGCTTTATTGATTAAGAATAAGCATTAAACAAACATTGTTTCTTTACAATTATAAATCTCTTCTCCGGTTATGGTATTGACTAGATAGAACTAAGAATGTTTGGTGTAACCGCGATAGAATGAAATGGCGGTGTAACCGCGATAGATGAAATGACGGTGTAACCGCGTTAGAATGAAATGGCGGTGTAACCGCGTTAGAATGAAATGGCGGTGTAACCGCGTTAGAATGAAATGGAGGTGTAACCGCGATAGGTTCATATTCTGGGTCATGTTATTTCGGAAGTAGGCATCAAAGTAGATCCTCTTAAGATTGAAGCCATTGAAAAATGGGAAGCGCCAAAGACCCCAACCGTAATCAGAAGTTTTCTTGGAATGGCTGGGTATTACCGCAAGTTTATACAAGACTTCTCTTATATAGCCACTCCATTAACTAAATTGACAAAGAAGAATGTAAAGTATGAATGGGAAGAGGCTCAAGCTCAGGCTTTTCAAATGTTAAAAGACAAATTATGCAGTGCACCAATTCTATCTTTGCCAGATGGAATGGAAGATTTTGTGGTTTATAGTGACGCATCGAAGATGGGCTTGGGTTGTGTATTAATACAATGTGGGAAGGTAATTGCTTATGCTTCAAGGCAATTGAAGGATCATGAAAGCAGTATCCTACTCATGATATGGAGTTAGCAACAGTAGTGTTAGCTTTGAAGATTTGGAGGCATTACTTACATGGAACAAAATATCAAATTTTCACAAATCATAAGAGTCTACAACATTTGTTCCATCAGAAAGATTTGAACATGCTTCAAAGACGATGGTTAGAATTGGTTAGCGGTTATGACTGAGAGATATTGTACCATCCGCGAAAAACAAACGTGGTGGCTGATTCTTTAAGCCGTCAAGAGAAAAGTGATACCATCAAAGCTATAGCTTTAAGAGTTGAGTTACTACCAAATATTCAGGAAGAGTTGCAGGAATTTCAATGTGAAGCTATGAAGGAGGATAAGATTAAACAAGAAAGACTTGGTGGAATGACATCCGAATTTGCGAAGAATAACAGGGGATTATGGAATTTTCAAAATAGAACTTGTAATATCAGAGAACGTATCTTAAGTGAAGCTCACAAATCACGTTTTGCTATTCACCCGGGTACAAACAAAATGTACAGGGATTTGAAACAATATTATTGGTGGCCAGGCATGAAGAAAGATATAGCTAAACATGTTGAGCAATGTATGACCTGTTTACATGTAAAGATAGAACACCAACGTCCATATGGTAAATTGCAGCCCTTAGAAATCCCGATCTGGAAATGGGATCATATCACTATGGATTTCATAACCAAATTACCGAGAACACCGAGAGGTTATGATGCCATATGGGTTATTGTTGATCGGTTATCCAAATCTGCGCATTTCTTACCAATGGAAGAATCGTATTCAATCGAGATACTGGCAAAATTGTATATTGATGAGGCAGTGACACGTCATGGTGTTCCCCTATCAATAATTTCCGATCAAGACAGTTAATTCACTTCGATGTTCTGGAAAAGCTTCTAAAGACAGATGGGTTCACAGATGAAGTTAAGTACAGCTTATCATCCTCAAATGGATGAACAAAGTGAACAAACTATCCAGACACTAGAAGATATGCTTAGAGTTTGTGTTATTGATTTTGGGGCATCATGGGATAGTCATTTGACTTTGGTAGAGTTCGCTTACAATAACAGTTATCATTCGAGTATTCAAGTTGCACCTTTTGAGGTTTTGTATGAACGAAAATGTTAAACCCCTTTATGTTGGAATGAGATAGGTGAGAAACAGTTAGCTGGACCTGAGTTAGTACAACAAACAGCGGATAAAATTTGCCAAATTCGGGAACGAATGAAAGTGGCTCAAGATCGACAAAGAAGTTATGCAGATAAACGTCGAAAGCCAATTGAATTCCAAATTGGAGATAGAGTAATGCTAAAAGTATCACCATAGAGAGGGGTATTACGTTTTGAAAATAGAGGAAAGTTGAGCCCAAGGTATATTGGACCCTTTCCTATCATTGGAAGAATTGGAGAGGTAGCTTACAAACTAGAACTTCCATTGGAATTAAGTAGTATTCATGACATATTTCATGTGTCAAATTTGAGGAAGTGTTTAACAAATCCAGAAGTAGCGGTGCCTCTACCAGAAATTAAGATTGATGAGAAGTTATGTTTTGAAGAAACCCTTGAAGCCATAACTGACTTCAAGGTAAAGAAATTGCGGAGTAAAGAGATCGGATTAGTAAAAGTTCAGTGGAGTTATCATAAAGGGGCGGACGCCACCTGGGAACTCGAGTCAGAAATGCGAGTAAAATATCCTCATTTGTTTACTTAGTGGAATTCCAGGACGGAATTCTTCTAAGAAGAGGATATTGTAATATACAATTTTCAGATTATAGTTGATCGGTTTAAAAGTTATGTTTGCAATGGAAAGTTCAAGGTTGGATTATGTAGTGTGAGGGTTTTTGAGGAATTAACCTGTATGTTATATTTTCCTCATTAGATTGTTATTATTGGTGTTAATTATTAAAAGTGTGTGACGCATGGGGTGGGGGGGGGGGGAAGGTGCCTACCCATGCATCGCTCCCAAACTCTTTCCCACTTACTATATATAGTAAGTTTGGTTGAACTCGGAAAAGTTTACCACTTCATATCAGAGAAGTCTCCTTGGCAAATTCATCATCTAAGGCAGAAGAGCAAGCATATTTCAAACTAAGATTTTGGCTAAGGTGAGTGTTTTTAAAACATCCTCTACATATGATTTATCACTGGTTTATAGTTGCTATGTTGTTATTCGATACTTTAAAATCTTCATTGTCCGATTATGACTCATCTCTGGCCGTAGTACTGACCGGATTAGATCAAGTCCGGTCATAGCGTTGACCGGATTTGAATATATGAAATGGTCTCCGGACAAAGTGTCGTCCGGATTAAAGAGTTTTATGATAAGATCATTTTATTCAATGACCGGATTCAAACATGATGAGTTTGTATCCCGGACACAGTGTTCTCCGGATAGGGGGTGTCCGGCCATAGCATTGACCGGATACGTGCCTCTCCGGACATAGTGTTGTCTGGATTGGTGTCTTATGTCGGATAATACTTACCGACCAAGTTTTAGCCGGATACCTCTTCTACCGATCATAACCTTGATCGGATGCATGCCTCTCCGGACATAGTGTTGTCCGGATAGGGGGCTTTATTGATTAAGAATAAGCATTAAACAAACGTTGTTTCTTTACAATTATAGATCTCTTCTCTGGTTATGGTATTGACCAGATAGAACTAAGAATGTTTGGTATAACCGCGATAGAGTGAAATGGCGGTGTAACCGCCATAGAATGAAATGGCGGTGCAACCGCGATAGATGAATGATGAAATGATATATTAAGATCCAAGTTTGATATAATCTTGGATTTTGAAATATGTTATGCTTCGTATAAGGAAAATGTACTCACTATGACCTTCTGGTGTAACGCTCAATTATTGGACTAATCTGTTTTATAGGTTGTCCATCATCTCAGGGTAAAGGTAAGGGGAAAATGTAGAGAAGTGTTATTTAGATGTTTGTGTTGTAACTGACAAAGTTTTGTTAATCCATATTTTCTTTTGTTATGTAAACATTAATTTTGGGTTATACTACGACTACTATGTTGATGTATGAGTAGTTTGTTGGAATTTTATATCATAAATAGCATAGTGGATTGTTACAGTTGATTACTACTATTTTCCCATTTGTTAAAGCAATTATCCATAACGATTAGTAATGGCTGGAGATATTGTTACTCTACTCAACCAACATTAGGGTAGGAAAAAAATACAGACCCGTAATTTGGATAGAAGAAATATAATTTAGATATTAAACTAGTGTAGAAGTGAAAGAAAAAGGTTTTCAGCAAGACCTTCATCACAGCCAAGTTGGTGTCAATCCCTTCAACTTTGACTCCATCAACCGCGGCTTGTGCATTAGTAACCATCTTGTAATTGCTTCTAGATTCTTTCACAGCTTTCTCTAAAGGAGTTAGCTCTCCAACACTGACATCACCAACAATAATCCCTGACTTGTTAGGAACATTAGAACTTGTTCCAAACACAAACCCTAAGCTAGAAGCCATGGTGCTGGCGGATATTGAATACATTCCACTAGTAGACATGGTATTGCTATTTCTATCGAGTTCTCTAGTTGTTGACCTTGTTGCAATTGTTTCCAATATTCGGTCTCCACCTGGAAGTTGATCACAAACATTGAACATAAGACCTGCCTCAAAGGACAGTGGGATTGCAGAACTTATGTCTTTGAGGGCTTGCACTCGTAGAATTCCAAATATTGTTTTCAGCAGTATTTCGTCCCTTTCAACTCCAGTAATCTGGAACTTGCGTATAAATCGGTGGGCGTATAAAATTTCACGGATAATAGCTAGCCAGTAGTCACGCCGAGCATGTCCCTTGAGCTCAGGAAGCTCCATAACAATTGCATCTGATCTGCATCGGTACCCTTAATCAGTTCAAAAGAACACCTGGGATACATATAACATTATAGCTATAATGATTTCAGCGGCCAAACAGCATGCCATTTAATGAGGTATTGGAATTAACAATGACAAGTGAAATAATGGTGAATTGGTGATTAATAGTATGAAGAGAACAAATGCATCAAGCCTTACAAGGAAACTGATTTATACAAGAAGGCTTTGTCAAAAAGTCTTGTTCCCCATGGACCCGTCAACTCTGGCTTCACAAACTGCTTCAAATCATCAGCCAACTCATAAACAGTAGGTTTATCATATGATACAACACGAAGAGCCTCAAAGTACATAGCATGATCTGTCAGAGTTAACCGACCTGCCACCATAAATATATGCACGGACATCAGAAATTTTCAGCATACTGCATCATTTTAACAAGTACCCTTCTCTTTTGTACAAGAAACCTTCAGTATCCTAGGATATTTCAATAGTGACGGTTGAAAATTAACCTACCAGGCCAAGTTGAGATCCCTACATGTTGAAGAACTGGCTGGGTGGTTACTGTGCCATCCACTTCCAGAACCCTTTCCCCTCTTCCAGATCGTTGGGAAGAAAGGAGAGATGACTCTGATTGAGATTTAAGCTTTCTGACAGCCCTGCATACAAGCATAAATGAAATTGACGGCATGAGTTATGTAGTTTGACTTTGATAATAGATTTAGCAAGTTAACAACTTGAAGAAAAAATCCACATGGTGGCACACTTGATTAACTAAAAGCTTACAACATGGATGCAGCCACTTGGCCCACTAGCATTACTACTTCAAGAAAAATAGATGTTAACATTGGTCAGGTACTCGGATGTTAAAATGCCCCAGGACAACGGATAGGTACTATAAGTCTATGACTTTCATCGAACGCAATCATAAAAAACTACCATATTTACATCTCCTATGGGCAAACAACCAAACCATAATCAGATTACAGAAAGAATACCTTTCCAATCCACTAAGGTATTTCTCAAAGGTAGAAAACTGAAGCCGTCCCCCAGTTGATGCAGTAAGAAACTCAAATATATAATCGCTGATTATTACATCGGCTATAATGGGAACTGCTGGCACAATTCGAGAGAAGGCTTCTATCCCCACAGTCGCATCCTCATCTATCTGCATAATGAGATCTACAAGTTGTCAAAGAATTTAAGCTGGTACTTGAGATCCATCTCTTCTCACATTGTGAATAAATCAAATTCGATGATAGTCTGAGAATGCTCTAAAATATGACGGAAATTATATAAACCTGTGTACAACTATATCAACTACCAAGAGAATATAACTTTTTGTACGATAGTCAAGGAGTCCTAGCCCCAAACGATGCACATGTAAAATTAATTTCAACGCTTTATGTGGTCAGGAATGCTCTTTGTAGCAATTATCTTTAACATTATTTATAGCCTTGATTGTCGAATCTCTTAGTTATTACTTGTTATGGATCATTCTTTCCTATCAACTAGGTTAAAAGAAAAACCTCATATTGTGATAAAAAGTAGCCTATTTCCAAATATTATGTTTTTTATAACCCTACTTTTGGTTTTTCTTCCATTTTCTTTTGGCATGACATGTATCCTGCCCCACCACCTCTTGGTTCTTGCCCCCCATCTTTGTCATGGGGAAGGTGTCCTTTTGGCCCAATGTTGCCACATGATAACCTTAAAGTGATCATCCTCTCTAGCATGTTACCAGCTAATTCCAATTTCCCATGCTAATGTTTTTTCATTGCAAGGTTTTTGTACCAAATATTTATAGAAGGTATGGCAAGGTTTTTTGTTAAAGTGCCAGCTGCCTGGTGAACGGTCCATCTTATCAAGTGATGTGCTTCAGGAGTGTGCACTGTTAAACAATTCCACAGAAATTGCTTTTGCTAACTTGTTTTGTATTTTTCCCTCCTATTGAAATGTTGAGCATATACATAGGCGAAGATTGTGTGAGAAGTGAAGTTATGGTGAGAATCGTAAGAAGAGATATGAACCTTGACCACTTTTAATCTCATGCCCACCCATGAATTGTGCTTTAGAGGTGCATCTCGGTGCACCTCAATAGTGTTGACATTCAATAGGACTGATCCAAGCATGGAGATCTCTTCTTACGCTTCTCACCATAAGTTCCCTTCTCACTGGAACCTAATCCTATATATATATATATATGTGTGTGTGTGTGTGTGTATAAGAAAATTTGAGAAAGTGCTTCCTTAAAGAAGTTATCAATGTAACAATACATACATCCATGGAAGGCTGGCTGGCAGCATCTGGAACCTCCCAAGCAAGCATCATATCAAATGTTAGACGTCGAAATTTTTTGTCCTCCATGTAACCACTTATTTGTGTGGATAGAGAGAGAGCCCTGAAACAAGAATATTCCAGAAAATTCCGGGCATACCGTGATGGATCTTTTGTAACATCTGGAGCCTCCTCATTAAAGTTTTCTTGAAGTAGACGTGTAGGAATGTTAAGGATTCTGCAGTAATAAGGTATAGAGCTCGTATTAGCTTAATGAATTTTTCTTTTACAAATCCCATGACAAGGAACCCATATCAGGTAAAATCACAGGGAACATATCTACATCAACAGAACGCAAATAGAAATAGAAAGGAAGTTACTTTGAACATCGACGGACGACTATATTTGCCACGGGAGATAGTTCATATATCCAGTTTTTGTCTCCTGATGGAGACATTTTCATCTCTTCAAACTCTTCATGAAATGGATTTCGGTTTTTCAACAACCATTTAAATGATCCATCTCTCACAAAACCCTCAATCATATTTCTTGTTTTGCTCACTGCAGCCATGTTCCAAAATCTCTATTTCTAGAATACCAACTTAAAACTCAAATCATATCCAAGTGTCCAACCACCTACCATACCAGAACTTTAACAAATTAGAACATAAATGATCAAAGAAAACAAACACATGTTTTCATCATCCACTAAGCAGATATACGATTCTACTTTTATGAAAATACAACCTCGCCTCACTACATTGTTCACCTGAATATTAACTCGTTAAGGATCAACCAGAAACTAAGTAACTTATCGCTCACAAAATTAATTGCTGAGAACCTTGGTAAACATCAAGAGTTGCAATAGAAAAAAGGTTATTCTGAGCTTCACTACAAGTAAACCATCAGTTAAGTCTCCAAACAGGTTATTCTGTTACAGTTACACAATTGATTTGGGACATCTTTCTTGGATTCACTTCAAGATATCTATCTTTGAGGATGCAACTGCGAAAATCAATAGCTGTACTTTGAGACTATGTTATTGTTCTTGGATTGAAGTTAAGACTATTTTATAGCTTGCGATTGAGGTCTTCATGTTCAAATTGCTGTAAAGTGTGGGTTTGAATCATTTTACATAAGAGTCTAATCCTGACATCAAACAAATAACAAAGCTCATACTAACTGAAAAACAATGATGAACCACAATAGCAACAACTAATACCACACAATGGATAATTTGTCAACAAAAGGATTGGATAAATCACTTTGTTGTAACATGAAATAGTGGCCAACTATTGAGGAAAGAACATGGTGAAAACAATTAGAAATAAATTAAATGTACCATGGATAAAAAGGATAATCAGTCAAGCATGTTTTCGTCTGGCATGTCCAAAATTAGTACATAAGTGCATAAATTTTCCACATGACCACAATTTTACAACTCAATTTTACCATTTTGCACATAAACCCTCAAATCTCTGGTACATATTATTCTGCCTCGAGCATAAAAACACCATTCATTTAATACAGGAAACATAGATCCTCATATCAAGTAATCAGCAGAAATACTCTCGAAAGTCCTCAACTTCGTATATCTATCACCTTGATTCAAACCAATTTAATCACAGACATACGTGCAGCTATGTAGAGAAACTTATTGCAAAATTTATGACTGTAACTTGAGTTTGAAGAGATATAACAGAAAAGACTGCAAACAGAAGTGGAAGATCGACATAGCAGAAATTTTAGGTACAAAAGTTTCCTTACAAACTACACAATCACACGAAAGCAGTGTGGTAGAAAGAAATCAGAATCGTATCGAAGTTGTTACGACTAAGAGAGTAGCCGCCTGAACGGAGAAACCGCCACAACAAGTAAGAAACGCCGATGAGATGAGAATAAAACACAATAACGTGATGATTTTTGAACCGAAAGAGAGGGGTAAAGCGTGTCGGTTTAAAGAAGAAAAAAAACAGATAAAAGAATCGTATTTTTAGGAAAGTGTTTGGTGGATTACGTCAGCCCAATCTTATCAAAGGGAGGATGGGTTCTTCGAAGAGGACCGCTGAAGGGGTTGATCCGGTCCACCATTCAACCGTTCAACGGTTCAAGTGTAAGATGGAAATTATATCGGTCCAAACTCATGATTAGGGATGCTTAAAAACCTGACCAATCCGATCAACCCAGTCTAACACGAAATAACTTAACCTCAAACAACCTCATATTTAATCGAGTTGTAAAATTGTTAAACCATATGTATTGGGTTGATATTGGGTTACTATTAATAGAACCTAAACCGACCTGATAAACCCGATATTTTTTTATTTCTTGGATTTAATATGATTGTTGAATTTCTATTAATATATACATTAACAATTATATCATCATGTATGCTCTTCATATACACATATTTTCAATTTATTCACATTTCTATATAACTCATTCATATATATGTTCAGTAACTGTGAGCATATATATGTAAATTGAGAAAATTAATTGAATGTGATATACGTAAAAAGTATGGATAAGTTGTATTAAATGGTTGATGATGAAAAAGATATTATGAGTAGAGAAATAACATATTCAAGGTTAAAAAAAATATTTTAATGTACCAAAATATCAATCCGATCAACCCGTACGGGTTGGGTTGGGTTGGATTAAGATTTTTCAAACCACAAACATTGGGTTGAGTTGTTCAAATGTCTTCAACCCGATCAATCCAACCCACGAACACCGCTACTCATGATACCTAATCCTAATGGTGTGGGATTCGTGTTCATATAAATTGTTAAATCGTGCAAATTGCTTACACCCTATTTTACCATATCGTAAAGTGCGGTTTAGAACTTTCGTAATGTAGTTTGCATTTAGCAAACCGTACTAGGCGGTGTGGTTTTGAGTTATCAAACTATGATTCAAACCACATCGTACCGTCACAACTCACATGTCTAATTTAATTTGAAATTTATTCTTGTTTACTTCTTAAACTATATTTAATTATGCAATATGTATTTGGGAATCAAATATATTGGAACCCTTTATTTTTCGGACTATGGTCACTTTATCATTGATTTTATAATTTTAAATTTATAATTGTTGGATTGTATGCATAAAGTGCGATAGGTACAAACCTTATAAACTATATCGCATTTTTGCGATGTGGTTTGGTGTGGTTTAAGGTTTATGTAGTACAGTTTGCGGTTTAGGAAAATGTCCAAACCGCATATGAGGTGCGGTTTATGGTTTGACCCCAAACCGCACCGTAAACACTCCTAATTCTTTGTTTTGTGGTAAATGAATGATGACGGGGTTGATTTTTATGGAGACTCTCGCGATGGAGTCGGGATGGCGTTACTGCTTTTTATCCGGCCCTGATTAAATTATTTATTTATCTGATGTGTATATATTTATTATTAAAAAGTAAACTACATGTTTTATCCCTGTGATTTATATGTTATTACATATCAAGTCCCTCTTCAAAACTAATTATGGATTAAAGGTCGGTGGTTTGCAATTTATAACGTATTGTGTCCCTGCCTTTAACTCCATTAAAAATACTTTGTTAAGTAGGTTAATTCAAAGGGTTTTTTTTTTGTCTATTTAACACATTTCCCTATTTTTATTAAACAAATAAAATCTATATATTATTATTATTATCATCATCATTATTATGCATAGAAATGTAAAGGGTTTTGCTACATGAACATTTAGGAGTTGTTTGTCAATTATTAAATGATTTGATGTAGAATGATTAAGTAGTCAGAATGCTTAAATCCTATATGATATAGTGCAGAATGAAATATGATTGTTTGGTAAATATTTTGAATGGACAGTCTGAATGATAACAATTACTATTTTCACCTTGTGTATTGAATACACTTTTCAAGGGTGTTCATCTTATACCATCATTATGTCCTATACAAAAAGACATACATTTGGACGTTTCCCCAATTAAACGGGTTCACCTCAACTTAAAATTCTCATTGATCCTAACCGATAACATCAGAAGCATTCCACTGTGCTCAAAATCATTCATATGATGTGGGTTCAAGACACCATTAACGGAGAACTTAAGGTGGGTTGAATATAAAAATCTCTATACACATATCAATAAGAGCTCCAACAGCGAATACAAAGTTCCAAGTTTTTCAGTTTCCCATTGAAACCTGGAATAGGATTCCATGGGCCAGAGGAATAACACGCACTATCACCATAAAATTAAGATCATAAAGGCCTATTTGAGATTGTTATTTGAAGTGTGGAACTTAAAATATAACACTTGTTAGTTTTTGGCAGACCTATGGCTCGTTTGTGTAAGGATGAAAAGTTTTTGGAACATCAAAGATAGCTTCACAAATGACTCCTTAACATTATAAAACAAATAAAATATCAAACTTGCATTTCGCAGTGCCTGTTATCCAAATAAGACGAGATACTAACGTACTGAAGATATCACCTATAAAACATAGCATATATTCACCAAAAATTAATAAGCTCCCTTTTATACAATCAAACATCAATTTAAGATGAGTAAACCTTCAAAAATGCAAATGAAAAAGGGACAAATGAACAAGTTGTATGTGATGTATGTGCTGAATTCTTACTTTTGCGTAGCTTGATGATTGAAGAAACCATATAAAATGGATCCTCGTTCATTCTAACATGATAAAGATGGATGATGAAGATATATATGTGGAAAAGGAAAAGAACAAAACAGACATAAAAAGTAGAGAGAAGATTTAGGGGAAGTTTTGTATAATCTGAGCTCAATCTTGTTGGTCGTTGAAAAATTTTCTAGGTTTTTTTTTTTTTTTTTTGTGTTATGAAACAAACCTTCTTATTGTTGAGAGTTGAGGAAGAAGATTCGTAAGGAAGAAGATGGGTGAAGTTGAGGGAAGGAAGAAGGGTAGTCTTGGAAAGAAAGGCTTCTAAATGGTTTAGGGATGTCCTAGATGCAAAATCGTTCAAATGTTCTTAAACCATTAAGAGGTTGGGTTTTTTCACCAAGCAAGTTCATCATCTTAGTGGTTCAGACATGACCTCTTAATGGCACCATTAAAAAGCAAACAAACAGCTCCTTATTTATTTATAATTTTTTAAAAAGTAGGTTTCATCATTAGTTATTTTTTCATACTCTCTTATTTCTCACCATTATTATACCTTATAATTACACCCATCATTAGTCATTTCTTCTATCCTTACACCATTTTTTTATATATACAAATTTTGTAGATAAATATTTAGTCTCTTTAATTTATTTTTAACATTGATATGAATTTATAAGTTGAAATTGACATATTTGTACAATTTCAACGACTTTTTGTTTTTTAAATATTGGTGCATTTGATATGTTACCTAATTTTTTTTCCTAATATTGTATACCAATCAATTATAATTAATATGTAAAATCTTATATCGTAAAGCAATCAAATATACTTGATACTAACGTTTTTCGGTTGGTACATGTTGGTACTGGTTTTATATACATTTATTTTTAGTTAGAAATTGATTAAGTTCCCCACACACACACACACATATATATATATATATCAAATTTTACATGACACATATTGTATAATTAATTCTACTGAATAAAATCTAAGTTTCATTAAATTTAGAACTTCTAATTGAAAATTAATTCAAACCTTAAGAAAGTTTAATAAGATGCTAATTTTGTGTATTATAATTTGTAGTATTTTATAGAGATAATTTATTAAAGGTTTAGTTCTAATAATAGCAATTAAAGAAAAATAATTTTAATAATAAATATATTTTTATTACTAATAGAAAATAATAGTATTAATAATAATAGAATATATATTTTATATATTTATAAAAAATAATAGTAATAATAACAATATAATATTTGTTTGAAGAATATATAAATATAAATACTAGTAATGATGACGAGTAAATAAAATAAAGAAGCAAAAAATAATTAAGTAATGATGATATGTAAATAAAACAAGGGGAAAAAATAATTAAGTAATTAGGCATAGATAGGTCTCTAAATAGTGTTCAAGTAGAATCATCCAAAATCACTCTTGAACTCATCTTTTCTACATTGTCCCTTCCACATCGTTCACCCCCAAGGAAGAAGCCACCCAAGCCAAACGAAACACATTTGTTTCTAATTGTCCCTTTGTTCCTACTTTCGCCAATGCCACAGAGTTCCTTCTTTGCTAACTTAATACGATTTGCAAGTTCTAGATCCACGAACCTCAATAGGGTTGTCTCCTTCTCAGCCTCCACCAGCTTCGACTTAAGGTCCTCGGCTTCTTTTTCATTCACAGCCAGGGTGGCCTTAGCCGCCACTACCTCTGCTTCAAATGTGTCACCTTGTCGAGGGTCGCCTTCAGATGCGCCCACATCTCCTCCTTCTCATGACCCTCCTCCTCTAGATGGTTGAGGGCGTCGTCCAACCGAAGAGAGAGAAAGAGAGAGAGAGAGAGAGAGAGAGAGATCTTCGCATCGGTTCAAAGTCTCTCGTTCCTTAGCAAGAGCTTCCTCTTCTCTTGCCAAGGCCCTTGGCACTAGCTCTCTAACCTTGTCCATGTGCCAAGAGAGGCTTAAAATGCTTGTACAAAAGACAAAAGTAGTCCATAATTAGTACTTTAATCTTACATCTAAAATAACTAAGAATTACAAAAAAAAGAACTTACCATGAAGGAGAGCCCTGTGATATGGGTCTCCAGGTCGTCGACCGAAACCGTGTTGTAACGATCACAAAAATAGGAGTCACAAACTGGTTGAGGTGTGAATATAACCTCTTTTTATCTAAGGGATCGTTCTTCATGAAGTCGGCAGGTCGCCAAATCTTCATGGTCGAGAAGTCAAACTCCTTCTCGACTCTAACGACCTTCCCCTTATCCTTTGTAGGAGGGGACTTCGACAGTGCCCTCGAACTCACAAACGTCGCCATCACTACGTCGGGGGGAGTCATCATTCTCTC